TGCACTACCTGTGCTCTTTGAGCATATACCTCAGAAGTACATACACATATAATCATCACGTATGCCACTCATATGAAATATGCTTATATAATCACAGCATCACCACATTACAGAATTCATATAGAGTTATAATTCATCATGGATGTGATTGTTTATATGTGACTCAGTGTTACATATATTTATGTAAATACTCATCTATAACCATAGAAAAAAGCAAACAAAACAAAAGAACTAAAACGTATCTGCAAAGGGACAGAACACTGAGTGCACTAGAAATATGTAGGGTCAATTCCTGGCAGTTTCCAAGGCTACATGAGCTGACTTTTCTGCCCAGTGAGGATAGAGGAGGAGCTGGGAGAAGCACAAGCTTCAGAACAGGGTTCTTCTACTCATTTGGCTTTGCAAGGAGCCTCAAATCAAGGTGGATAGTGTTGGTGTCTTAGGGTGTGTCATGGATCTCCCTTCCCTGATATTCACCAATTCACAGTAAAAACAGTAGGGGACCATCATGGTGTCCTCACATGTAGAGTGCTTGCAGAAAAGATTTTTTGTGTCCTACTAAAGTCTCTTCTTCACCTTTCTTTCCACTAGAAATTTAAACTTGAAGACAGGCTATGAAGGGAAAGGGTGCCCAAGGCCAGTGTCTTGTGGGCGACATGGTGGGCCTGGCCCTCCTCAGAGCCTGTCCCTCACCGGGCAGAGAGAGGAGCTGCTGACAGTGGACTGAGCTCCCAGATCACTAGCAAGGCAAAAAAAAAATTATTTTTTTGTTTTGGTCTTTACAGCTAACTCCATATTGAAAGTAGGATTATTTTAGTTATATGGAAAGTAAAATAAGACATGTCTTCAAACATCAAGTCTGACCTTAGACTGTGGAATGGAGATGTTCTCTCTTCAACTGGAAGAGTGGTAAGAAGCTAGATTCACCAAACTTCTGTATGCTTTGGGAGGATCAATATTTTATTGTGATTATTAATTTCTCCTAATTTTTAAAAAAATATACATTATTTTGAAAACATGCATGTGCACTTATTCTCTTCATTGACTGTATATTTTATTTAAATTTCAACTTATTTTAAAAGGGAATGGAAGAGTTGTTTATAATGTCTATAGCAGCATAATATTTACAACAAATGAATGAATAAAGCAAAGGGAAATGAAATAGAAGTGATAAATTCTGAAACCAGATGTATGATTCATGCACAGAATAGATGTTGATGGCTTCAAACATTTACAAAAAAAAAATAGTTGTCTCTGAGTCTGAGTTTCTCAGCAGTCAATATAAAGAGGAACCAGGATAAGTATGAAAATCAGACACTTTATTAGCTAAAAAAAAAAAAGCCATTGTCCAGAAGAACCACAGCTGTTCTTGATATGGAAATTTGAGAATGATGTCTCCCAGAGAAGTCTCCTGACTTCCTACCAGAGTCAGGTTTCTACAGGAAAACCTCCACACTAAGTAGAAGAAAACACACTTACTCTTTCTTCCAATATTTCATTAAGACCAGGAAATAGTGGGCTGCCAAAAGAATATTTTAGCTGGGCCCAATGGCACATGTCTGTAATACCAGCAGTCTGGGAGGCTGAGGCAGGAGCATGACAAGTTTGAGCCCAGCCTGAGATACAGCAACTTAGTGAAACACTAACCCAAAATAAAAAAATAAAGATGAGCTAGGAATATATCTCAGTGGGAAACCTCAATGACCAATATAAGAAAAAAGAAGAGGGATTTTTTTTTCCCCCTCAAGTAGTTTACTGTGACAGGGCCTGGTTCTTTGAAGGGTCAATTTAGGTGCTGGGGATGTTGCTCGATGGTTGTGTGTTTTTCTACCATACATGAAGCCCTGAGTTCAATCCCCAGCACCACACACAAAAATAAATTAATAGAACATGTTGAGTCAAAAAGAGTTTAAAAAATGGAAAAAAAAAGTTTATTTATATGACTGGCATCACAGGCCAATTTCATTTAGCTTTTTTAAAAAATAAAGGGGACAACAGGTCCTCTTTTACTTATTCAATAATACATTAGGAAAATAGTTATGAGCTTCCTTTTCTGTGGTTGAAAACATTTCACAAATAAATTATTTCTTCTGACCTCACTCTTTCTCAGATTCAAATATCATGAGAATCCTAGGACAATGACCAAATTTGGAAACAATAATTTTACAGTATCTAAGATAAGATCATTGGAATGGATGACCCTGTAAAGTTTATGTAATTCATACTTTCTATGAAGTTGAATTGAAAAAAAAAATGTTGCACAAAATTGAATAAGAAGAGCAGGAACTGTGTTTTGAGACTGAAATTGAATGTGGTTCCCTTAGACAGTTTCATGGCTTACACAGCACAGACAGAGCACAATGACATATCTGATCCCACTGGCCAGCCTGCTCGAGTGTCAGCATCAGTCATCTGTGCTAGTTTTCACATTATTTTGCCTCAGAAGTTAACACTGTTTTCAACATGACAGCCAGTAGAAGAGTATGAGCTTTTGGTATCAGAGAGAACTTTAATCACTTCTCATATAACAGCTGTGTGACCTTTAGCAATTTGCTTAATCTCTATCTATGACAATATTTGTTTCTTAAGAAGATGAAATAACATCATCAAAGATCTAAACATTAAAACTGAAACAATCTCCTGGAAGATAAAATCGGTAAAACTCTTAGACACAGGCATAACCAAGGACTTTGAAATGAACCCCAATGGCAAAAGAAATAACAAGAAAAACGAACAAATGGAATTGTATCAAATTTAAAAACTTCTGCACAGCAAAAGAAATAACCAACATAGACTTTATGAACAAATCCTCAGCAGCACAAGAACTTGCACAAAGAATCAACAACAGGGATCTCATTGTATTAAAAAGTTTTTGCAGTGCAAAAGAAATTACCAACAGAGCTAGGAGACAACCTACATTGTGGGGGAAAAAAATTTACCAGCTACTCCCCAGGCAAAGCACTATTATCTAGAATATATAAAGAACTAATAAAAGACCCCCCAAATACAAAGACCCAATTAAAAATGTGCATCTGAAGTGAACAGACATTTCTTAGACAAACAAGTAAAAGCAGCAAATAAATATATGGAAAAAAATGTTCAACATCACTGGTCATTCAAGAGATGCAGATAAAAACAACACAGATTCCACCTCACCCCAGAAAGAATGGCTGCTATCAAGAAATCAACCAATAACAAATGCTGGTGGTGCTGTGGCGAGAAAAGAACGCTTCTACATTGTTGGTGGGAGTACAGACTGGTGCAACCACTATGGAAACCAATATGGAGGTGCCTCTAAGAATTAGGATTAAAGGTCCCATTTGACCCAGCTATTCCTCTGCTGGATAGAAGATCATACCACAGTAATATATGCACACCCATGTTTATAGTGGCACAGTTTGTAATAGCTAAAATTTGGAAACAACCCAAATGCCCAACAACTGGAGACTGGATAAAGAAGATTTTTTTTATATAAAAAGGAGTACTACTCAGCCATAAAGAGAGAGAATCTAGAGACATTTATAGCTAAATGGATGCACACTGAGGCTATACTCTTAAGTGAAATCAATATGGACATGAGTGAATACTGAATAGTTTCTCTGGTGTGAAAAATTAAAAGTTTAAATAAGGTTCAAATGGTATAATTGAGAGTGTGAAATAGGAAGAAAATGGCTAAAGAGGAAGTGGGAAAGGGAGGGGAAAGGAAATAAGGGAAAAGAAAAAATGAGAAAAAAGGAAAAAATGGAAACAAAGTCTTTGTAAATAGGGAAGGGTTAAGGGGATGAAGGGAGGGCAGGGGTATGGGGAAAAAATAAGAACCAAGATCTGTCATATAAAGATACAAGATCCCAATGATAAATTAACTGTATTGTTTGCTTTAAATGTACCAATAAACTTAATGGGGGACAAAAAGAAATAACCAACAGAGTGAAGAGACAATGTACAGAATAGGAAAAATTTTTCCCAGCTATTCTTCAGACGGAGGACTAGTATTGAGAATATATAAAGACTACAGAAAGTTAGACCTCCCACAGTAAAAGAACCAACCAAAAATGTGCAACCAAACCCATAAAGACTTCTTAGAAGAAGTACAAATGGCCAATAAACACATGGAAAAATGTCAGTATCTCTGACCATTAGGCAAATGAAAATTCAAACAACACTGAGATTCCCTCTTACTCTAGAAAGAATGGCTGTCATCAAGAAATTAAACAACAACAAATTCTGATGAGGCTGTGTGGGAGAAAGGAACCTTTCTATGTTGTTCGTGGGAATGTAAACTAGTACAACCACTAGGGAAATCACTATGGAGGTTTCTCAAAAACTAAAACTAGAAGTTCCAGTTGATCCAACTATCTCCCTTCTAGAGTAAAGACATCATATTCATTGATACATGCATACCCATTTTACCAGCTACTCCTTAGACAAAGGACTATTATGTACATAGCAGCACAATTCACAGAAGCTAAATCTTGGAAGTGGCCTATATGTCCATCAACAGATGAGTTGATAAATATGATGCTGTATTTATAAATAATGAAGTACTATTCAGCCATAAAGAGAGGAAGCAGAGTCTTGTAAGCACATGGATGCACCCTGGGATCGTAGTGTTAAGTGGAACAAATCAGACACATAATTTAAATTATCATGCAATTTCTCTTATATGAGAACCTAAGATATAAATAAAGAACACAATAAAAGATAAATAACAGGAACATAAATCTTCTGCAAAGTGGAAGGGGATAAGAGATGGGGTGGGTGGAGTTAAGGGAGAGGAAATAGATAGAAAAAAGAATTGAAGTATTATGCACATGTACTAACTCCCCACAAGGATTATTACTATTATGTACTCCAAACGTACACTAATAGAAAATGAAAAAAGCCTAAGAGCTGCAGTACCTAGTGGTTTAAATAAAGGACATTCTCAGTGAGTATTTGTTTCCTTCTTCTTATAGAAGTTTCACCCTTATAAATACCAAACTCATATACATTGAAGAGCTTCTTTGCTAAACACATTATCCAAAGTTATATGAAGCTAGAAAATTATAAAGATAGGAATTACCTATAAACAAAGAGAAACTCTGTGCTTTTTCATAGCAAAGATACTTCACTTTAGCTTCTGGAAGTGTAGTTCACGTTCCTTCTTGGAAATGTTTCCTGAGTAGGAAATATGCCATAGAGACATTTTGACCCGAGTAATATCATTTTCAGCAGAACAAAGATGTTTATGTGCTGTGCAGTGTTTCGGCATTTGATGCTGGGAGCAAAGTTTAAGGGGCTGGAATACACATGAAAATCCTAACTTCATTTAGCAGATTCTCCTTTGAAAAGGAAAACTCAATACGCTCTTGAATTTCATGCCAGTGCAGGTAGTTAAGATGGCATCCTTGAATGGAACACATTTAAAATCTGCTCCCCAGAGTGGAAAAACAGGGCTTGAAGCTCCTGTTTTCCCTCTTGCGTCTTCTCTTTTGTCTTCTTCATAGATTAAAATGTTTGCTGATGAAAAAAAAAAACAAAATAAAATTCAAGAAGATTCTTGCTAAAAATAAGATAAATTTACAGCAAAATTTGAGACAAAATGTTCTAAGAATAAAAATCAACCTCATTACAAATCAGACTCTTAAAGCACTTTCTTTTATTAAAAGCAATGAAATTAGTATTGTAAAAAAAAATTATAGCAGCCAGTTCTTTCTTGCTGTGATGAAGCTCGTGTCTTGCTTATATCATTGAAAAGTGTACAATTTTTAGGCAAGCAGTAGTCAATGGATATTAAGAGCCAAAAAATCATTCATGCCCTTTGACCCAATAATTTTGAATTTAGGAATCAACTTTACTTATTATTTGAGAGAGTGCTAGCTGTGTACCTCAGTAAGGCATTTGATCTTCAAAGATTAACAAAGCAAAATCTCTGTTTAAGAAAGTTTACAGTTTCCTGAGGGAATTTACTTTAAAAAACAATTTAGCAGAACTAAATGGCATAGATAAGAGATTTTCACTATAGTACTGCAAAAGCGAAAAATATTATGCTGAGCAAATATCCAGCAACAGGAGGCTAATTAAATCTATCAGCTCACTGGAGAGAATATAAAAGTATAAAGCGTGGTAATTGGAGACACTGGGGACCGGTTGCTGGAAGGCGTAGACCTCTCTGGTGCTGTTCCTAGGCTCTGTTTCTCCACAGCTACAAAGTACACAGCTTCGCCCCATGGCACCCTTTCGCCATGATGCTTTTGCCTTGCCACAAGTCCTGAAACCTGGGAAACAAGAAAGTGAAAAATCTTTACTCTAAAGTCATTTATTCCATACATTTTGTCACAGGGTGAAAGCTAACACAGCCCCCTGTAGATTAGATGTCAAAGGCAAAAGTTACAAAGACTAAGCTCTTACTACCCTGCATTACCTTTCTTGTTTGCTTGTTTGTTTGTTTGTTTTTTGAGACAGGATCTCACTATGTACTTGAGACTGACCTGGAACTCAAAACTATGTAGCCCAGGCTGGTCTCGAACTCACAGCGATCCTCCTGTTCAGCCTCCCAAGAGCTGGGATTACAGTTGTGCCCCACCACGCCCTGCATATACCCTGTGTTACCTTTCATTGGGGGGTATAAACTCATCTTTTCTTTCTACCATGTAAGGAGTGCCTTTAAAGACAGAAATATGGCATTATCTTTCATTTGGTCTGTGTTTTTAATATAATCTCTGTCACACACACACACATTTCCTTTAGATGTTTCCTAAAGAAAATAGATAAAAGGTAAGAGGAAAAGAAGGAATGAAGTAAGGAAAGAAAAGAGATGGGGGGGAAGGAAATGAAAAAAGAAGACAGGGAGGAGGGAGCAAGAATGAAAAGAATGAAAAGGCCAGCTAGGAAGAGAGACAAATGTGGTGCCCTCCTGGGTATGGCGTACAGAGGAGAAGTGGTGTCAGAGGACGGTGCCGCTGAAGGACCTGGAAATGTTGCTTTGCTCTCAGACCGCACAGATGCTGCAAGCTGGGTGGTCAGTATCACACTGTCGGGAAAGCTTCAGAGATAAGTGACCTACACCCCTAACGTTCCTCAATAGCTGGTCAGGGAAATCCATGAAATTGTTTTTTATGTGTGCGCAGATCCACCAGTGAGAGTGTATCACTGGAAAAACTTGTCAGAGTATAAAACAGATCCCTTTTCTTATTTCCAGAAACCCAGGCTGAAGTCCTCTTATCTTCACCCAGGGGGATTAAGATAGCAGAAGTCGACTCTCTCATTTTTCTGTCCTGACTGGGGGACCTGGTAGCAGCTGTTGTGCCCGCTCCGCTGGCTTCCCTGAACCTCACGCTCTACAGCAGACTGGGATAAGTTATCTTGGTGCCTTTACCTCCATGCAGTTGTGACAGGAGCACAGAGCTGTCAGCTGCAGTGCCCCCTTCCTATCCTCACCACCACTTGACATGTTTCTGATTTGTCTTCAAGAAATGCAATGGCAACCTAACCTGCACAAGATGAGGGAAGGACAGATGTAGGCCCAGTCTCCCTAAACCTCAATTAGCTGTGGTAAACCCAGCTAGGCTCACAGAAAAAAATTCCTTGGTTTCACTTTTGCCACTTTTCCCAAGGACATAACAGCTGTCAATCAAGCAGCTGCAGTTGCCCCATAGTAAATCACAGCCAGTACAACTGGAGCTATGATGGAGCCCTGAACCCACTTGGACCAATCATAGACCTGTGACTGGACTAATCAGCATGCCTGAATTGGAGCCAATCATGAGCCTACACTTGGACCTATCACAGGCCTGCAGCTGCTATATAAGCACACTCCTAACACACTTGCTGGTTTGGTCTAGGAGAGCTCCCTACAGTGTAATGCGCTTGGTGTGCTATAGCAAAACTCTATTAAAATAAAGACTCTAATAAAATAGATTTGGGAGGCCCTGTAAGCCTTCTCCTGACTCAAAGTTCCTATAAATATACTCAAGACTATTGTCCTGAGTAGTGCGGACAGAGTGGTTGTCTAAAAATGAAAACAACAAAACCAAACAATAACAACAACAACAAACAATAAACCCTTGGGGCTGCCATTCCTGAAGAACTTCATCGACTAGCAGCCAATGAAGATCATCAGCAGAGACTAACACCAGGCAGAGATGACGTACAGCATCGGGCAGAGTGGTGCTGGGCTCCAGTGGCCTGCAGTGGGATTCAACATTATCCAGTGTCATCTGGTGACCTCAAGTCTGCTCGCTGAGGAACCATATTTTGCCAACTCATACTTTTCATCCAAATCAAGCCAAGGAAGTGTTAACTGATGGACAATAGAGTGACTGCACCCTTTATTCTCAAATCCCTTTCAACATCTTACATACATTCTCCACTCGATTCAAGCCTTCTCATGGCTGGCTCAAAACTTTCCTGTCATCTAGCAGTGCTCCCCTTCCTCTCCTCAACACCAACAAAGCTTCAGGGCCTTCCATTACCTCCTGAACTCCTGACCATATTTAAAAGCCAGCTGAGCATGATGGTGCACATCGGTAATCTCAGCATTGAGGCTGAAACAGGAGAATTGCAAGTTTAAGTTCAGTAGGGGCACTGTAGTGAGCTCTCAAAATATAAAATAAGAAAAGGGCTGAGGACAAAACTCAGTGCAAAAGCCCTGGGTTCAAGAAAGGGAGAGAAGGAGAAGGACAAAAAGAGGAAGAGAAGAAAAGAATGCTCATCTTCCATAATCTGTCATGTGGAGAGGAACAGAGTGCCAGCCCCAGGGTCTCCTCACCCTTGGATGTCTAGTGAATTCCTACAGCTTCATCACCACCACACTCAGCCCGCATTTTCACTGCACAGCCTTCTTTAATCTCCCAGCAAGTGATTTCCCTTTCGTCTCCAGAGTATTCACAGAGCGTTGCTCAATACATACATATGCTTGTGAATAAATAAGTGGAAAGATGAGTGGATGAGGAAATAAAGCAAGGGAGGTCACTCCTGAGATCAGAAATGCAGCCACTTTTGGGGAAGTGAAGAAGCACTTTATTAAAAGTCTTAATGAGAATATAAACACTGCAAATCCAATTCTTTATTTCATATACGTATTTTTTATTTAGATGGAGCATGCACTAGAATAAAAACAAATTTTGAATGGAACTAACTGCTCAGGAATGCATGAAACTGGAACACATCCACGTTGGAAATTCTGATGTCACAATGCATCTGCAGTGGAGTCCAGCTCCCCACCACTCCTGCTCTTCTCACACTTGCATCATTGCATTGAAACAATTATTTTAAAAATTTTGACAGCTCGTACTTATGTTGAAGAAAGCATTGCCATCTTTTGACCCATTGTTACACAGCTTCTTTGTGTGTAGATTTATAAATACGGTTCATGTGAACGATGGCTTGAGGAGCCTGCATCAGAGACTTCATGCCATGTTTGTGTGGCCTTGGGCAGACCATTTTTCCTCTTCATAACTGAATGTCCTCTCCTGTAAAATGGGCAACACAGTACTACTTGCCTAATAAGTTGTTTTCCTCCCTCCCTTTCTCCCTCTTCTTAATTTTAGAGAAACATGTATGGAGTCCTGCATTCGGTCTTTCTATGTAGCAGCCTTTTTATCCCGACAGTCTGATGAGCTCAAAGCCAGAAACACCCAGCCACTCCTCAGCTGATGTACATGTTCATTTTCATCGATTCTTCCTCATCTAAACTAGGTATGGCTGAGAGAGGGACCTCGAGGTTCTCTAGTTCATCTTCACAGTGAGACAAAGAAATGGGACAAGTGGTCTCCAAGGGTCAGACCACAGGCCGGGGTCTGCACCGGCTGATGTTGGTCCAGCTCTGTTTCCAATACACACTTTTCTTGGCCTAACTGTGTTAGGATAGTTAACTGCCAAATTGAGTAAGAAATGAAACACCCAGCTCAGGTGAATCAGCATAGTTCTGGTGTGGCTGCAGGGATTTAGGAAGACAGAGAAACCACCCAGAGTGACAGTGGCGCCAACAATAGGCTTGTAGCCTGGTGGAATTAAAAGGAAAACAAACAAGGAAGGCTCACTACTGTTTCCTTGGAAGATCTCCAGTCTTCACCTTTCCCTTGGACATCGACTCCTGGCTTCCTGCACAGACCCTCCAGCCTCCCGATCAGACTCACATGGGATGTTACAGTGAGCTCTAGGCCTTTGATGTCAAACTGGATCCTTCCGGTCTCCAGCGCACAGGCTGGAGGCTTTGCACTCTTCCCACTTGACTCTGTGGGTGGTCATTGAAAGCCTACCTTGTGAGTCCTCATATATCTTACATTAAATCTGTTTCTCCAGCAGGCGCTGACTGGTACTGGTATAAAGACACAGGACAGCTTGGGAAGAGTCTTACTGAGAAATGTGTATGCAGCTGGTATAAAATACACATAGAGAAAAAAGAAGACATTTTTATTATGACCTTTTGAAAATATGGAAGTAGATAATTCAGTACTTTGGGTGAATGCTGTCTCTTCTTTTGCTGAGTCAATATGTACATTTTATGTTTGTTTTCTTTTGGTATAGCAAAACAACTGAGACAGAGCATTTTATGAAAAAAAGAGAGATTTATTTAACCCACAGTTTTGGAGGTTGAAATTCCAGAATCTGATGATGTCCTGCCTACTATATCACACTGCTGTGTGAGAATTGAAGAGGGAAATGGCCTCCTGGAGAAGAGGCCACACACACCAACCCATCCTAGTGAGAACCACCCTCCTCCAGGGGCCACCTTCAGTCCCTTCTGAGGCGAAGGCTTCCTAGTCAGTTACCTTCCATCCACCTCTTCAAGGTTCCTCCTCCTGTCAGCCTCACCACACCGGGAACCAAGCTCTCAGCAGATGCTTCTCTGTCAGACAAACTTAGACTATCTAAACCACAGCACTCCAACCCTGGTCCCTGACTTGCATATCTGTGTCATAAAGCTAAATGCATCCATTCCATGCCAATTGTTTCAAAGTCCTAGCTCAAAAGCCCAAGTTCAAAGCCTCAATGAGGCTTAAACCAATCTCTTTCCATCCGTGAGCCTGTAGTTTTTAAAATACCTCATGCGCTTCTAAAATACAATGTGGAACAAGTAGAGGGGAGACACTCCCAACTCCAAAGGGGATAAATGGAGAAGCAGGAAGGGTCTACTGGCTCCCCGCAAGATTGAAACCAAGCAGCACAGAACTTAAACCCTAAGTCTCCAAGTCAGGCATCCTGTGCATCCTGAGGCTGGTGTGAACCCCAAATGCTGTCAGCCTCCCTCTCCCCATGGCTTCACTGCCTGCAG